TTCGCACTGAAAGTAAAGGTAGGGCTCTATTCAGCCCTACCTTTACCCTCAAAATCCATCGATATAATTCTCTAATATTATATGAACTTTAATTTTTTATAAAAAGGTGGTCAAAACTTGTCTCCTGAAGGAAAGGAATTACTTTATAACGAATCCAATAAATACACACAAATTTTACTTCGATATAATCAACGGAGGTTAGGTTTAACTGAAGGGGCTCTAAGATTGGCTGAATGTTGCCGTTTAATTAATAAAAGTATTGAAAATGAATATAATGGGCGGTTAATAATTTCTCATCACATTAAACATTACTCAATGGATGGAAGTTACTTAAGATGTTCTAACTTTATGAAAAAAGTTTTGGAAAAAAGTGGTTAAAAATGAATAATTTTTTTAAAAATGTATATTTTTTACTCCTTTATTTTATTCAAAAATTCTTCTTTTATTAATTTAAAATATATGTATTCAACTTTGGTTATAGTCGAATCCATGATAGTGCCAACAAAAATTGTATCTCGTACCCAAAAGTTTGAAATTTGAGGTATCCAACTTTTTCTCCTGGAACGCTTAAATAATGAAGTGTGATTATTGCAACTATACACAAAAAAATTATCAAAATTTTTGATAAATTTTTGCCTATTTTGAGCATATCAAGAGCATATTACCCTTGCCTATTTTGCCTTTTTTGATTTTAGTGCCTACATATTTTGACAATTTTTAGTAACTTTTGAAATTAAAACCAATGCCAACATTTTATTAACGGAATCCTCAAGAGTTTAATTCCTGCCTGGTGTATTGCCTATTTTGAGCATATCTATTTTTTGCCTATTTTGAGCACCTATTTTGAGCATTTTGTCAAATGTTATTTATTCTTACACAATTTTACCCTATATAGTAAAAGTCTTGAAAAAATGAGCAGCAGATTTTGTAAATACATAATCCGACCATCTAATCATTTTAATTAAAGAAATATTTTCATGATTTTTAGATTAACCGGGCATCATTTAAGAATACATATTTCTTCATAATATGCTGGCATAACACAATCTTTACGTGTCCAAGTTTCATAGCCTAATTCCCAAGCTAGGTAGGTGTTTGTAAATGAAGCAAACAAATGCGAAATCTGCCTTAGATGTGCAATCTATTATTTAAAAACAATCTTTAAAAATTGGCAGCAAATCGATATACAAAAATATGCATTAAGAACCGGGTCCTAAAGTGTCGGACTGATGTAAAAACACCATTTTTGAGCGTTTCAGCTCATGGCATATCCGCATGCAAAATATGCATTTGCATGTTTTGACACGCCCTATTAATAATATTTTCTCATGTTTATTACTTTATTAATATAATTAATTAAATTATAATGTAATTATAATTTAATTAAACTTCCAAAAAAATTTTTTTAATTAAAGATAATAAAAAATCAATTTCCGTTTCATTTAAATTTTTTGTTTAATTAGCTGTTTTGAATAAATTTTCTAATAATTTAAATAAAATAATCTGCTTATTAATTTAAATTTTCACTCCCGGAAATATGACAGAGAAAGGTTCAAAGTTAACTAAATTGATTAAATCCAACCATTCAAGTTAACTTAACTTTCCACTATTTCATTTTTATCTAGAAATTTGTTTATTTAGCTGATAATTTTTAAAAAAACTCAACGAATTCTGCTATACTAGTATCATTCACATAATTATTTAAATTTAATATATCCCCAATTTTGCCAACACTTTCCATTATTTAATTCAAGTATTTACTTTTTAAATTTTTAAAAAGATTTTGAAGAGCTTGAAATATCTATAAGGGTGACAAGGATTTAATTTTAATCATTAATTAGGTAAATGTTCAGCAGTTCCTTATCTACCTGTCCGCAAAGTGAAAGCGCGCTTTTTAATTTTTCTGTTTTTAATTTGTGTGCTCGCCAATTTTTCCTTCTTACTGATATAGTATACATTTAAAGAAGAGAAATAATAATTATAAATTAAAGACATTTAGGTATTTTACAAATAATTTTTGATTCGATATCAAGTATCTGATCATCGAAAAATTTGGATATTAATTTTTTTCTGTCGAGAAAAACATTACACATTCATAAATAGAAAACACCACCTATAAGTTGCCTAGTTTTAAAATACAAATTTTTGTATTCTACCCGTAACTCTTGACAACCTCTAACTCTTCCCATGATTATGAATTTTGCCAGAAAACAGTCAACTCTCTTCTAACCTGAAGTCGGATAACATTTTGTTAAATTTTAATAATTATTTAATAATTTTAACTCAAGGGGGACTCGTTAGTTATATTTAACCTTAATAATTTTTTTATACTCCTCTCCCTTTTTCAAATAAAAAAATTATACTTTGTAATTGGGAAAGAAGAATGGGCAAGCACGCAAAAAATACGAAAAGGGAAGGAAAGATAAACAGGTGGATAGCGAACTGGACATTTACCCATTAATTATTATCTAATTAATCCTGGCCATATTATATCAAATTTTAAAATATATGTATATTTATAGAAAAATTTTTATTATAAAAATGCAAAGAAATTTTATTAAACAATGCAAAGTTTGTGGAGCAAAAGAAAAAGTTTGTTTTCATTATGGAGTTTGTACATGTAGGGCTTGTGGGGCTTTTTTCAGGTATTTCTTATTTTAATTTGGAAAAATCTTCTTAAAAGGCGTTATATTGAAAACGAAGGAGAATGCAAATATAAATGTAAATGTTTGAAAGAGAATAAAAATGAAAAATCCCAGACAGATTTGGCAAAATGTAAAAAATGTAGACTAGATAAATGTCTTTCTGTTGGAATGAAAAAATCGGGTTCGTTAAGATAAGGGTAACGCCCCGTCCCCCAAACACAGTCTGATCGGTTTAGTGTCTTCGTATCTGAAAATATTGGTTCGGTGGATCCAAAAGTCATCCTCGACTCCCAACATTCCCTTCCAGACAAAACTACATCCCCGACACTCTCGACCACACAGGATACCCTAGTTAAAATATTTAAAAATAATTTCGAAAAGGTTATTTTAGATGTTCGATATTTACGTCACGATATATGCCAGGAAGCAATGAGAGAACAAAACAATGAAGTTAACGTAAATTTATTTTTTTAATTGGAAAGGGAAAGGGGATACTTTAAAATTTTATTTGAATTTTTTTCGATTAGTTCCTAGAGTTCCTAGAGTTCGCGCAGTTGCGACAGTATCTAGTATTGTGTATGTGATAGGAACAAGAACAGCTGTCACTAAATTTTTTCCTCATCCACGATTTCTTCATTTCATTCTTATAATTTTTAATCCAAAAACCTCCCCAAAGAATAAATATATTTTTTGTTAAAAAAAAGAGTTCAGAAAAAGGAAGGTAAAACTTACTAAACCCGAACACCGCGTTCCCCCAGGTCTCGATCGAGACCTGGGGTGAACCCAACGGTGTTCCGAAGAGCGGTGAACATTATATGGAGGTCCTAGAATGACCGTATCGCTAACTGGATTCAACACAACAATATTTTATTTAAATTTATTAAATTTATTATTCCCAACTTATAAATTTCAACTTATTAATATATATTTTATTACAACAATTTTTAATGTTTCTATTCAAAATATAGACATTTTCTGTCTTGATTTAATTTTAAATTGTGGGGATTGACTTCACTGAATCAAGTATGTTATTACTTTCCTTGAAACAAGTGTTTAATACTCCCACTCAAAAAATATTTACGTTTATTGGTTGGTTGGTTGTTTAAGGGATTATTTTAAATCACAAGACTTTAATATTGTTTAAATCAACAAATTTATTTATTGTGTTAAAATGAATTATTTTTAACAATTGAATGATCAACAAGCAACATAATTTTAACAAATTAATTTTTAAATTAACAAAAATTTTTATGGTGCTGTTTTGTCGAGTGCCGTGCTTTATTAAGGAGTTATACTGCCGATATAAAAATCGGTTTGGGTTTAAGGTTATTGGTTTTATTGGTAGTTGGAGTTGTTTTGGGAATGGTACGTCCGTGAATTATTGGACGAGGTTTTGAGAAAAAATAAGCCAAAATAAGGATGGAAACCAGGATCAAACCAAGGAGGGCGTAAATTATATAAAAGTGAAGTGTATTTGAGAATTGTTTTTCTTGATTATCTTCCGCCTCAGTTGTAACTACAGGCCGAGTTTTTGAACAAATAATTGGCTCATTCCATTCCACGGGTCCAAAACAACGTTGGGCACATTTTAAGTCCGTGGGACAGTCAACCTCTTCAAATTCCACTTAAAAATTATAATTAAAATAAAACACAAAAATCGGAATTCAAAGACAAAATCAGAATTTATTAAAAACAAAATACAAAAATCAGAATTATTTAAAAATTAATTGTCAGAATTACATAACACAAAATACAAATTTTAATATAAAATAAGTCCAAAGAACATCCAATAAATCTAAAAATAGAGATCACACCAAAAAATCATATGGGCCCAAAAATAAATTTGAAAAGAAAAAATAAAATTAATTAGTTGATCAACAAAAATAAAAGAAATATAAAAGATTAATTAACGTGACTCTTACACCTTTTAACTACGGCCGGAGTTATCTGGTGTCGGACCACGAGTTTATTAAATCTAAAATAGTTTTAATTAAAAAAAAGGTGATTTAATTAGAATTTATTATGGCTGTGACTATTGGATTAATTTTATAAAGTTAATTTTGGATATTAAATTGTTTATGTAATTAATTATTCTAACACCAACATATATTTAACAACAGAAAAAAGATATTTTAAACTACATCGTATATTGAAAAACATTATTTAACAACAGCTACAACATAAAAATTTTATTTTAAAATTAACAACACATAATACAATAAAAAATATTTAATTAAATTTATTTAAATACAGGCTTCAAATTATTAATATTAATTATAATTACTGAATAAATTGGAAATACCTATTGGAATACTCCATTCAAATTATTTTAAATTGTTTTTGGAAAATTTAAATACAAAATGGAGGAGGAAGTTGGAACGGATGATGACATGCACACTGCTGATGAAGAAGGGAAAACTCCTTTAAGAAAAGGCCAATTAAATGAGCGGGAATTACAACAAAAGCTCGCGGCACTTGAAAAGGAAATCGCCAAACTTGGAATAAATAGAATGCGTGAAGGATTACCTCTTCCAGAATTTTATTCGGGAATAGAGGATTTTGAGGCTTACCTTCGTAGATTTAATAAAATTGCCACCGCGCATCAGTGGAGTGGAACGCGATGCACTCAGATTTTACCTTTATATTTGTTGGAGGAAGCTCGCGCGATATATGATTCTTTGGGCGCAGACTCTAAAAATACTTGGAAAGGACTGACAGACGCCTTAGCAATAAAATTGAAGAAATTAAATACAAAGGAATCAGCGCGTAGGATGTTGACGAACAGAAAACAAAAATCTAATGAATCTATAATTGAATTTGCGCAGGTTATTCGAAGTCTAATAAACAAGGCTTTTCCAGAAAATTCCTTTAAAAAAGTTGTTCTTGAGACAGAAGAGGCGCGATCTCAGAGAATTAAAGATTGGAGAGATGACCTTGCTAAAGACTATTTCAAAAATGGAATTAAATTGGAAATTAAGGAAAAATTGGCATTTATTACAACGGATACACTAGAAGACACTATTAACCAAGCCAAACAGATTGAGGAGGTGCAAAATGCATTGAAAGAAGATAGAATGAGGTCATATCAGAATAAATTATCTGAGAAGGCAATACTTGAAGTTAACGCTGTGAGAGACCAGGTAAATGAACTTAAAGAGCAGGTTGATCGTCGCATGCCAACACAGCCTGTTAGGGGAAATTATAACAATTGGAGAGGAAACTTTAATACTCGAGGCAATTGGAACCAACGAAATAATTATAATCGGGAGCAATACTCTAATAATAGAAATAATTTCCAATATTATAACAATTGGAGAGGAGCAAATTATAATCGAGGTCGTGGTAATGTAAGATGGGGACAACGTCGAGGAGCTGGATCTTTTAATTCGAATAAAATTCCTATAAATAATCCAAGAAATTTTGGAGCTGGAACATCGAATTCGGCACGAATTAATTCCCTAGCAATGCCTTATATTACTATAATGATGCTTTTAATGTTTTGCCAAGGAATTTTTGGACAATACCAAATTTGTCCAAAGGATAAAATTGGTGAATCAATGACGTAATTCCTGAAGAGTTACCCGAGGATAAGAAGAAAATAATAAAGGATAAAGAAGAAGAAGAAAAATTGGTAAAATTGGGGAAATATCAACAGAAAATGAAATCTCGACAAAAGGATTTTGATGAGGAATTCGTCGCTAGAGGTTTTAAAACGCGAGAATATTCTATGTCACCAGTTAGACGTCCAGTTGTGGGATATATAGATGAAAAGGACAAAAAGGATAAAATGAAAAAAATTAAAGCTAAAGAAAATAAGAAGGTGGAAATAACTACAAAAGAGATCGGAGTGAATACGGTTTTTAATACTTTGGTTTTCAACCGAATTTTGGAAAACCTAGAGGAAGTTCAGGATTTTTTGACTTTAAAGCCAACCGCTAAATAAAGGAAATACAACAACAACAACCAATAAAATAAAAATAAAACAACAAAAAAAATTAATAAAAATTAAAAACTTCAAAAAAAATATTATAATAATCACATATATTCATAATTACATCAAATATTTTAATCAAAAATAAATATTTCTTATTATATTAATCACAATAATCAAAACAACACAATTACTATCACAATTATTTTAATTAATACAACAATTATTTTAATTATGTTTATTAAAATTACCCACATAAGGAATGACCATTGGAAGAATACACAAACACAAAAATTAATAATAAAGTTAACATTGATGTTTAATAATAAAATTAATTTTAAATAAATTAAATATTTTCAATTTGATGAAATATTAAATAATTTTTAAAAAAATTAAAAAAGGAAATCTTCGATTTGTGGACTGACTGCTTTTCATTAACTTGTGTCTTCCTTTTGCCGCCCAAATCTCTCTTTTTCTAGCACCTGGCCCATACTAATTTTAAAATACAAAAGAAAGAAAAAATTTATAAAAGATGAAAAAGAAAAAAAATAAAATTGATTAAGAATAAATAAAATAAATTTTAAGCTAAATTTATAATGTTACGTTGTAGGGCCCTCCTCCTCCAAGTTCGCCTTAAAGCTACCAAAACATCTTTAAACTTTTAAAGTTCAAGGATGAACTTGGAGGGAGGAGGGGAATGTGATAGGAACAAGAACAGCTGTCACTAAATTTTTTCCTCATCCACGATTTCTTCATTTCATTCTTATAATTTTTAATCCAAAAACCTCCCCAAAGAATAAATATATTTTTTGTTAAAAAAAAGAGTTCAGAAAAAGGAAGGTAAAACTTACTAAACCCGAACACCGCGTTCCCCCAGGTCTCGATCGAGACCTGGGGTGAACCCAACGGTGTTCCGAAGAGCGGTGAACATTATAGTGTATCAGTCTAATCTAGAGTTGATCAAGACGAGACCGATACCGAGACCGATACCGAGACTCTCGGCTTTTTTCCAATATCGGTCTCGGATTTTTCATTCTCGGTCTCGAAACCGATACCGATATTCTCGGTCCATTTCTCGGCGAGAAACGATACTGTCTCAAAGAAACAAAATTCTCATCTTGTCCAAGTTTTCGTCCATAATTTTTTCGGATATCCGTCCATAACAAAGAAAGTGAATTTTTTTCGAATAAGGTCTTCTAAAATTCAAAAAATTTTCGCTTGCGGCGCTAAAAAAGGAAGAAATTTGGTGACTTGGTCTTCCAAAATGTAATAAATTTTCGTCTGAGGCGCTGAAATGCTGAATTTTCCGAGCCCTCGGCCGTTAGATTTTCAAGATTTTGATTACAGAGCCTTCCGATTTTCGGCATCTGTTGTTCCCACCAGTGATTAAGGGGATTTAAAATGATCGGAAGCAAATTCTCAAATTTTCCAAAATTCTCAAATTTTTGTCTGCGGCGTTGAAAATAGGAAAAATTCTGGCTTCTTGGCCTTCCAAAACTACAAATTTTCGCCTGCGTCGCTAAAAATTGGAAGAAATCTGTTGACTTGCACTTCTAAAATTCTAAAAAAATTTTGCCTGCGGCGCTGAAATAATGGTCCTTAATGGCCCGATTTTGTTTGAAGAAATAATTTCATCTAATTTTAATATTTTTCGTTTAACTGGGAATTTCTCGGTAAATTTTAATTTAATTTTTAATTAAAATTTTGTTTTAAAGCCAAATCCAAGTACAATATTTTTTGATGAATTAAATACTTTGAAAGCTTCAGTACAAACTGAGAGAATAGTTAATAGTAGAGTTCAAAAATGCATTTTAGTTGACAGACTTTTGTGTGTTGGTTTAGCTAAATCTATGCCTGTTTTTGAGAAATTGACTTTATCTGATCAGGTGTTTTATGTTCATTTTTTTCAATACCCAATAAGATACCATTCATATCAGGGGTGAGTGCAAAAGACAATCAAGAAACGCAACGCAAGGCCAAAATTTAACAGATTTTTCCCTCCCCGATATCACTCTAAATCTCTCAATATGGAGTTGAAAGATGAAAGAGGATGAAGGATGAAAGACAGATATGAGATATCCGTAAATAATTTTTTACACAGAAAAATAAATTTCTTTCGCCTACGAGTCTGGTTTTAGACCTCGATTGCTGTCAAGTTTTAAATATTGTTTTTAAATAATAGATTGCACATCTAAGGCAAATTTGTCATTTGTTTGGTACATTTACAAACACCTACCTAGCTTGGGAATTAGGCTCTGATACTTGGAAACGTAAAGATAATTTTATGCCTGCTCTTAATTGTAAGAAGGATCCTCTATTCTTAAATGATGATAAGTAAATATTTTTCTAATAATTTTGCAAAAAATTTCTAAAAATTTTTCAATTTTTAGAATGATTAAATGGACAGAATTTGTATTTACAAAATCTGTTGCCCATTTTAAACGTGCTTCATTAACAAAAGTAGAATTTGCTTTGTTAATAGCTAGTATCCTTTCGAAATCAGGTAGACACTTTAATTTAAATTATGTAGGGTGTTGTGGCTCTTCAGCCCTACCTTTACCCTCAAAATCCATCTATATAATTCTTCGATATTATATAAACTTTAATTTTAAAAAAAAGGTGCGGAAAACTTGTCTTCTGAAGGAAAGGAATTACTTTATGACGAATCTGGTAAATACACACAAATTTTACTTCGATATAATCAACGAAGATTAGGTTTAATTGAAGGGGCTCAAAGATTGGATGAATGTTGTCGACTAATTTGTCGAAGTATTGAAAATGAATATACTGGGCGGTTAATGATTTCTCATGAAATTAAACATTATTCAATGGATGGAAATTTCTTAAAATATCCAAACTTTATGAAAAAAGTTTTGGAAAGAAGTGATTAGAAAATGAATAATTTTTATAAAATTGTACATATTTTTGCTCCTTCATTTTATTCAAAATTTCTTCTTTTATTAATTTAAACTTTTTAATTCATCAAAAGGTATTGGACTTAGATTTAGCTTTAAATCAAAATTGATTTTTATTAAAAATTAAATTAAAATTTACCGAGTAATTTCCAGTAATTTAGAGGCAATTAAAAGTAATTACACATTTAAAAATTTTTAAATTATCTTTAAGGGAAAATTGATGATAAATGTATTAAAATATAAAAAATTATGAGAATTATTTTATTTTAATAGAAAGTATTTAATTTTAAATTTTTCTAAAAAATTATCAGCTAAACAAACAAATTTTCTAAAAAGATATTAGAGAATTAAATACCAAGCTTTTATTTTACGCCGTGGTTCGATTTTGCGAGCCATCAACTTCTTAAATTAAATCCATTGATGTGCGTGCCAATACTTCCATATTGTCAATAGATTTAAAGTGTTTCCATTGGCCCTATATTTCCAAAATAACACAACTTGTTTAAAAAATGAAAAGAGTTAGGACTCCTTTTGGTATTTTTGAGGGAAGGGTCTGCACTTACTAACCCAAAAGTTTGTAGTCGCTTCGGCAATCACTCGTTCGATAATGAGAAAAAAACTCAAACGATATGGTACGAACTTTTTCCAAAAATTATCCCGTGCGCCATCGACTCTGTATCCAAGCAAGGGGTGGGCACTTAGAAAAACCTGATTATTTTTATCCCTTACTTAATTCTCTATAATTTAATATTTATTTCATCTCATTCGTTTAAATTTGAATAAAGTTAAAGTATAAATAACGACCCCATGACTTTTGCTCGCTCTGTATTGGCATTATTGAAGTATTGATACGCACAGCGATGATTTTAATTTAACAAGTTCGTGGCTCACAAAATCGAGCCATGGCTTAAAATAAAAGCTGGGTATTTAATTCTCTAATATCTTTTTAGAAAATTTATTTGTTTAACTGATAATTTTTAGAAAAATTAAAATTAAATAAATACTTTCTTTTAAAATAAAATAATTCTTATATGATGTATCCCATAATTTTATTGGTAATATGCGTTTACATCCCCCCCATTTTACTTTCACCCTTTTTTGCACAAATACCTCAATTTATACCTAGATAACGATCAAATCAGATTGACCCTTTTGCCTCTTTTTAGTGGATTTATCCCCTTTTGACTTTTCTTCCCTTTTTTTTAACTTTGGCCCATTTTTGCCCCTTTTTATTTTCTTAAAATTTTCAGCTGTGGCTCATAATTTTATTTGAAATTTTATGCCCTTCTTTGGTGATTTGTAATGGACCACCCTGGATCAGATACAAACTAGAAACTAAATTCACTAATCTTATGTTTGTCGATACGTACCCAGCTTTGTTTTTTAAAACGTGAGTTTATGTGATGAAATACAGCTTCTGAAATTATCATAATACTGGTTCTAAAAGCATAGCTTGGTACTTATCTCCATAGGAAAATCATTTTTTGAGACTTTTCCGTTACAAATCCACATTTCTAAAATGTTTTAAAATGCCCCTATTTTCATCTTGTCATTATGTTTTCATCTTGTCATTATTAACATTTATTTAGAAAAAATACCAATTTATTTTAAAAATGGAAAGTAACTCTAATAAAAAATGCAAAGTTTGTGAGTGTAAAGAAAATGTTTGTTTTCATTATGGAGTTTGTACATGTAGGGCTTGTGGGGCTTTTTTCAGGTA